GGACCAGGAGGACCATGAGGAGCAGGAAGGAGACCAGGAAGATCCTCCTCATCATGAGCATTCACCGCATCATCCGCCTCCTCCTCCCCCCCTGTCTTCCTCCTTCCCCATGTTACGGCTTCTCGAACAACGCGGATGCCGCCACACACGCATTTTTTTGCTGTTCGCCCTCCCTCCCACCCTCCATCCCTCCCTTCTGGCCTCCATCCCTCCCTCCTTCCTTCCCTTCCCTCCCTTTCCTCCTCACCCTTTCTCCTCCTCCCTCTTCTCCTCCTCCTCCTCCTCGTCCTCTTCCTCCTCCTCCTCCTACTCCTCTTGCTCTTCCTTCTTCTCCTCATGTGATCAGCAGGAGGAAGGGGAGGAGGGGGAGGAGGAGGAAGAGGAGGAGGAGGAGGAGGGGGAGGAGGAGGAGGAGGAGGAGGAGGAGGAGGAAGAGGAGGAGGAGGAGGAGGTGGGGGACGGGCAGGAGGAGGAGGAGGAGGAGGAGGAGGAGGAGGAGGAGGAGGAAGAGGAGGGGGAGGAGGCGGAGGGGGAGGAGGAGGAGGAGGAAGAGGAAAGCGAGCAGGACAAGAGGAACGCTGTTTTCTCGTTTTTCACAATGGGTTTGCGAACCTCACCTTCGTGTACTATTGGCTCTATAGCCCCTGTATTGTTTTCTTACGAGCGAACGGCGAAATTGTGAGTTTCCGAACCCCTTCTTCGTGTACTATTAGAATCAGTGGGCTTCCGAACCTCATCTTCGTGTACAATTAGCTCTATAGCCCCTGTATTGTTTTCCTATCAGCGAATGGCGAAATTGTGGGTTTCCGAACTCCTGCTTCGTGTACGATTAAATTCCGACTATTCTATGCTAGTCTATGTGGTTTAAACTGATTGTGTGGAACCGAACCCGAATCCGAACCCGAACCCGAACCCGAACCCTTACCCTTACCCATTCATTCTTAGTAGACACGAAGGAGAGGTTTAACCCTAGTAGTAGTAGTAGTAGTAGTAGCAGCAGCAGCAGCAGCAGCAGCAGCAGCAGTAGTAGTAGTAGTAGTAGTAGTAGTAGTAGAAGTAGTAGTAGTAGTAGTAGTAGTAGTAGTAGTAGTAGTAGTAGTAGTAGTAGTAGTAGTAGTAGTAGGGTCACCCGTCGTCTATGGCCGGCCTGCTTATGGCCAGTAGTTTGGTTGGGTTTCCATACAGGTGTACGAAAACCCGATATAAACTACGCGTCCTTCACACTTGACTTATGGCCGGCACGCTGTGAGGAATCCGACGGAATTCTCGAGGAATCCCCCGGAATTCAGGAAACCTCAGGAATCCCAAAGGAATCCGAAGGAATTCTTTAAGAATCCTAAATGAATTCTTGAGAAATCCAGAGGAATTCATCAGGAATCCTCAGGAACCCCTGAGGAGTCCTGAGGGATTCTCAAGGAATCCTAAGGAAATCTTATGGAATCCTAACGAATTCTTCAGGAATCCAAAGGAACCTTGCAGGAAACCCACGGATTTTTCTAGGAAGCTTCCAGGAATCCGAAGGAATCCTAGGGAATCCTAAAGGAATGTCTAGGAAATCTTCAGGAATCCTTAGGAATCCTTGCGGAATCCCAAGGAAGCCTCCAGGAAACCGAAGGAAGCTTCAGGAATCCTAAGAAAATCTAAAGGAATCCCAAGGAATTCTTCCGGAATCTTAAGGAATGCCAGAGGAATCCTTAGGAATTCTTCCGGAATCGTAAAGAATTCAAAAAGAATCCGAAGGAATCCCGGAGGAATCCGAAGGAATCTCAGAGGAATCCTAAGGAATCTCGGAGGAATCCTAAGGAATTTACCCGGAATTTCTCGGAATCCTTGAAGAATCTCAAGGAACCCCCGACGAATCCAAAAGAATCCTTGAGATTCCATAGGAATTCTCAAGGAATCCGAAGGAATTCGCCAGGATTCCTTCGGAATGCTCAAAGAATCCGACGGAAGTCCCCCAGGAATCCTACGGAAGTTTCCAGGAATCCTAAGGAAGTCTCCATGAATCCTAAGGAAGTTTCCAGGAATCCGAAGGTCTCCTAGAAAACTAATGAAAACCATGGGTTTCCAATAGGAAACTTATGAAAACCATTGGTTTCCAATACAACAAATTATATTATAGTATGAGAAAAACAATTGGTTTCTAATGGGAAAGAGAAAAAACAAGAACCTCACTTTGGATGTGGGAAACTAATTAAAACCATTGGTTTCGAATAGAAAACGAAGAAAAACAATTTGTTTCCAATCGAAAACTAATTAAGACCATAGTTTTCCAATGGGAAACAAATTGAAACCATTGGTTCCTAGTAGAAAACGAATAAACGAAAATATAGTTCCCAATAGAAAACTAATGACAACCATTGGCTTACACTAGAACGCTGATAAAAACTATTGGTTTCCAATAGTTCTTTAATTCAAAAATGGTTTCCAATAGAAAACTAATTAAAACCATTAGTTCCCAATGGGAAACTAATTGAAACCATTGGTTTCCAATAGAAAACTGTTTTTTTGTTTTATATATGTTTTTATATATAACACATTGATTCCCAATAGAAAACTAATTAAAACAATTGGTTTCCAATAGAGAACTAATTGAAACCATTGGTTTCGAATACAAGACTAATTAAAACCATTGCCTCCCAATAGACAACTAATAAAAAACCATTGGTTCCCAATCGACAACTAAAAAAAAGGTTCCCAATAGAAAATTACTCCGACGGAAGAACCCCACATAAGAATCCTCTGGGCGAATCTGGAAAAAAACCATCACCGTCGTCCCCGTGGTTGGTGAGGCGTCCTGGCTGTCTCTTCTGCGTATATTTCCTGTCGCCTTGGCGCGGGCCCCCCTTCCACTCCTTACGTTGTCCCCATCCTCGCCCCCCTGTTTGTTCCGCGCCCCGCCACCTCCTCCCCTTCCTGTTGCATGAGCGCGCATGTCGATGTTCCTCGGCGCCGTCGCCGCCACGGCCAGCACAGGCGCGTTCTCTACTGGTCACGTCGCGCAGCCGTTGGGACAACCCCGCGGGCCAGGCTGTCGGGACAACCCCGCGAGCCGCTGGCGCGCAAGACCAAGCCGTTGGGACAACCCCGCGGGCTTCGAGCGAGGCGCAGCCGCGCTCAGGCGGAAGGCAGCACGAAACCCAGCTCTGCCGCGAGCTGTTTCGCCTCCGCCCTGGACAAAACCGCTTGCAACTTCCTCCATATTCAGGCTTGAGGAGCCCAAAAGTGACGACAGCTACAGGGTTCCGATGACCCGCTCGGATTACCAACATGATCTGCGGAGCCCATAGGGAGGGAACTCCCGCCTGAGACTTCCTCACAATTCACTCAGAGACGAGGCTCCCGCCTGAGACTTCCTCCAAATTCAGGCTTGACGAGCCCAAAAGTGACGACAGTTACAAGGTTCCGATGACCCGCTCGGATTACCAACATGATCTGCGGGCCCCATAGGGAGGGGGCTCCCGCCTGAGCCTTCCTCACAATTCACTCACAGACGAGGTTCCCGCTTGAGACTTCCTCCAAATTCAGGCTTGAGGAGCCCAAAAGTGACGACAGTTACAGGATTCCGATGACCCGTTCGGATTACCAACATGATCTGCGGGCCCCATAGGGAGGGAACTCCCGCCTGAGACTTCCTCCCAATTCACTCAGAGACGAGGCTCCCGCCTGAGACTTCCTCTATTTTCAAGCCTGGAGAAATCAAAAGTGACGACTGTTACAGGATTCCGATGACCCGCTCGGATTACCAACATGATCTGCGGGCCCCATAGGGAGGGGGTTCCCGCCTGAACCTTCCCCACAATTTACTCACAGACGAGGCTCCCGCCTGAGACTTCCTCCAAATTCAGGCTTGATGAGCCCAAAAGTGACGACAGTTACAGGATTCCGATGACCCGCTCGGATTACCAACATGATCCGCGGGCCCCATGGGGAGGGAGCTCCCGCCTCAGACTTCCTCCCAATTCACTCAGAGACGAGGCTCCCGCCTGAGACTTCCTCCAAATTCAGGTTTGGGGAGCTCAAAAGTGACGACAGTTACAGGATTCCGATGACCCGCTCGGATTACCAACGTGATCTGCGGGCCCCATAGGGAGGGGGCTCCCGCCTGAGACTTCCTCACAATTTACTCAACGATGATGAGGATGAGGATGATGAGTGGTGGTGAAGATGAGTGGTGAAGGGGATGATGATTGATTGTGAGGTGTGGTGGCGATGATGATGTTTGAATGAGGATGATGCCGATGCCGATAATGATAATGATGCTGTTCATGAGCGTGTG